AGACATCTAAAAGTCAAAAATTGCATTTCAAGAAAGTTTGCGAGAAGTTTGTGTCAGATAGTTGCTTTTGAGAAGAAAATAAAGTCGTCTGCAAGTCATAAAAGTTGCCTTGAAATGCTGGGATGCTGTCCCAAATGTCAGAAATGTTGCTTTGAAAGACTAGAAAGTTGTTTGGTGTGTCTGAAAAGTCGGCTGCGAAGTGGTGAAAATTTCTGAGAAGATGGATAAGTTGTATGAAAAGTTCCAATGCTGTTTGAGAAGACAGACAAGTTGTGTGTAAAGTCACATACTAGGGCGGGATTAACTTGATTACAGACCCGCCTCCGACTTCTATAAGATGTGGTGTGACGGGGGCGTGTCTTCTCACAGTGGCGACGCGTTCCCATCATCTCTAATAAATATATATAAATTTCAATAGCAGTTGAGTCCAACCTGCCAACTTGTACCCTAGACCATTCGTCCCGGTGTTATCGCTATCGCCACACGAGACTCCAGCTTGTCTCCTATACAATTTGACTGCGCACATCCAGAAAGTAGATGTAGCTGTGATTGGTGGAATACTAATGAGTGTCAATCAAACGCCCACGCTATCTTTAGTAAACAAAGTCACGTGACACGCGCCATTTTAGTTTTGGCAGGCGATTTCAGGGCTCATACCACTAATTGAATTTCCATAGACGACAATGTTAACATATGACGAGATTGCTATATGAAAATGACGAAGAAAGTTGAAAATATGGCTCAAAAATGGGAAATCAACATGCCAGTAATCAACCATATGAAAAAAACTAACATGTTGGCCAGCTCAAACTCTTGCAAATCTCAGGTAAACAAGACACACCTACTGTATTTGGATTGCACCAAGAGAAATCACTGGAAAAACACCAAGATTAGAACATCCATTAACACACAGAATAAACCCACAGGTACACAGCCGCTAAGTAGTAAACAAAAGACCACATGTTGGTCTCACCTCTGACCCAGGTGATTACGCCCTCAAACAGGGAGCACCTGAGAAAAATAATATTTAAAAAATTTCATTGGTTCTTGCTGGGCATTTAAATTGAGGGCTACGAGCAGCCATTGGTTAATTAGTGGCATGAGACCTTCAGAGAAATAAGAAGGTTTAATAAAGTTCTTGTTGATCTTATATATGATGGAATATCATTAGACGAGTAATTTCCCATGCAAAAAAAATCCCCAAAATTTAAACCCTGGGAGTTATTTATCAAAATCTACCACTTGGTGGCGCCCTATACCCAGACAATTAGTTGTAGAAAGTGGCAACATACACACTCAGCATAACACCAAAATAGATGGTAGGCAATGAATATAAGCCTGATTATTAGATGCAGTACTGTAAAATATAATGTTCTCATTCACCACAAACAAGTACAGACCAACGTTTGGCATGATTAGTA